ACACACACACACACACACACACATACACACAAATAAATGTTTTTTAAAAGTTTTTAAAAATATTCAATATTAATGCAAAACTATACTACTAAGAAATTCCATACTTAGGGCTTAACACCTCACCAAACACTTATCTTCAGGTCAAGCCTTTGGTTCAAGGTCCAGGCTGGTATACATGGAAGGCACCTCTTAGGCAAGCCTTAGTGTTATAAAACCAGTTCATGAGGTAAACATTGCAAATGCACAAACTTACCTGTGAAAATTTTAAATTGCTTATTTAAAATAGTATAAACTGGGGACTGAAGGGATGGCTCAGTAGTTAAGAGCACTGGTTACTCTTGCAGAGGATCCAGATTTGGTTCCAGCACCCACATGGCAGCTAACAATCATCTGTTCCAGGGGATCCAGCACTATCTTCTGGCTTCCAGGGGTATTGCACACACAGGTACGCTTATATACATGCAGTCAAAATACTCATACATACAAAATAACAATAAATGAATAAAAAAAATTTAAATAGCATAAACTGAGGCTGAGGATGTAGCTCAGTGTTTGTCTATCACTGAAGCCCTGGGTTTGATCCCTGTACCATATAAACTGGGTATAGAGTAAACACCTATAATCTCAGCTATTGGAGACAAGGGGATAAGAAGCTCAAGGTTGGGCTGGAGAGATGGCTCAGCTGGCTGCTCTTGCAGAGGACCTGGTTCAGTTCCCAACACTCAAATGGTGGCTAACAACCATCCTTAAATCCAGTTCTAGGGGACCTGACACCGTCTTCTGACCTCCGTGGGCACTGCATGACATGGGTGTACTTACATGCAGGCAATACACTCATACACATAAAATAAAAAATAAAATACAAAAAAAGAAGTTCAAGGTCATTTTCAGCTGTACAGTGAGTTACAGATCATCCTGGGAGATATACATACATACATACATACATACATACATACATATATATATGTAAAATACCAGTAATAAGTAGTTTATTAATAGAGAGCACATATAAAATCCACAGTGCCCTTACTAGTATTGTTTGTGACAGTGCCATGGTATTGTAGCTCAGGCTGGCCTTGAACTAACAACTATGTAGCCTAGACTGGCCCCCAACTCAAAATCCCCCTGGTTAAGACTCCAAAGACAATAGCCATGCACTACCACACCTGGTAGGATTGATTTTTCTTTTTTCTTTTCTTCTTCCCTCCCTTCCTTTTTTCCCTCCTTCTCTCCCTCCCTCCCTCCCTCCCTCCATTCATTCATTCATTCATCCATCCATCCACCCATCCATCCATCCATCCATCGGGGACATTATGGGAGGGGGCCAAAGGGGAGGAGGTATAAAGATGATTATGACAACTTTAGTCTCAGTACTCAAGAGATGGAGGTAGGTGGATCTCTGCGTTCAAGGCCAGACTGGTCTGCATAGCAAGTTCCAGCCAGCCAGGGCTACATAATGAGAGAAATAACAAATAACAAATGTCTCAAAACAAATAACATTGTATTTATAACACATATTAGCAGGGATATGGAGAAACTGGAGTCCTTATGCATTTCTGATAGAAAGGTAGAATAACAGTTGATTTAGAAAAGCTTAAAAATTCGTTAGAAAGCTAAACAGAATTATCCTATGATCCAGTAATTCCACTCTCATGTATTCAAAGCACTGAAATAATTAAAAGCAGGATCTCAGATACTTGTATACCCATAAAAATGTAGTATATAATGCAATAGATTATTATAAAGCTATAAAAAAGAATGAAATTCTGATAAATATCACAGTATGGAAGAAACTTGAAAACACTACGTTAAGTGAGACACAAAAAGACAAACAGCTTATGATACTACTTACATGATTGATCAAGAATAGGCAATTCATATAGATTAGAGGTTAGTAGGGGCTGGGGATGAGAATGGAGATCTGTTTAATGGGTACAGAGTTTCTGTTTGGATGACGAAAAGCTGTAGGAATAGTAGTGAAGGAACTTAGTGCTTCCCAATCGTGGGAAGGTACTTAATGCTACTGAATCATATACTGAAAATGGTTTTATATATAACATATGTTATAATTAAAATCATACTACCATTCAGACTTTAAATGATTAATCAGTTCATATGAATAGCAGAATGCCTATTTCTATGAAGTGAGCAATAAACATACTTACATATAAGAAAACCAGAACCTGTACACATTTATAGTTTTCTTCCATAAAAGTAAATGGATACGTACATACCTCCCACTGGGTGATCACAGCTTTGAGCTTCTGAATTTCAGCATCTTTCCTTTCAAGTTCTAATTTCAGTCTTTCAATTCTTCCATCTTTTAGAACCACCTCCTGAGAAAAAGAAAATTTCTGCTTTCTACAAGATTGTTCTCATCAGTTTATAATAGTCCTTTGTGAAAAGATTAAGAGGAAATGCTGACTTTTCTTTCTAGACACCTTTAAATTACATTTCTACCTTTACTTACTATGTGTTCCTAATGATGTATAGTGAAGGCAAGTAAGATTTTTATGATTAATCACAAACTGTAAGTATACTCTAGAACAATAACCAGCCATTGAAATGACATTTCTATACTATGATAAACATATTAAGAGGGTTCTGTAATTATTAGTCGACATAAATAATCCCTAAGATCTTACACTATATGTCAAAACATAATTGTAAAGTCACTCCTAAGTCATATTTTTTTTTTCATTTTTTTCAGACAGAGTCTCACTATGTAGCCCCAGCTAGCCTGGAACTCGATATGCACACCAGGCTGGACTGGATCTCACAGAGATCTGCCTGCCTCTGCCTCCTGAGTGCTGGGATTAAAGGCGTGAACCACCATGCCCATCTCTAAGTCATATTTTTGATAAGTATAAACCCGTTCTATTTATCTAATGAGCATGTGGAAATAGTACCATATTCCAAAATGCTCAGTGAGTAACTTCTAGATGCCAGGTATACAACGGTGAAGAGGACTGAAAATACTCTTGCCGTCATGAGATTTTTCTAGTACAGGAAACAGATTTTACACATAAACAAATGCTATACTTAGAAGCCAAGGTTTAAGTTATGAGGTAAATTGCTACACAGTTATGAGGGAAACAGCTACAGTATTATAAAGAGAACAAAAAATAAGCTAGTGCGGTTGGAGTATAGTGAGGGGGAAGATGGTACAATATGACTTTAGAGTGAGTGTGGTGACACATGCCTGTGGTCCTAGCTACCTAGGAGGCTAAACCAAAGGATTATTTGAGTTCAAAAGTTCAGATCAGGCAGGACAAACCCTGTAAAACACCATCACAAAAAATCATAGAGGGCTGAGAAGACAGGTTAGTAATGTGCTTTCTGTATAAGCATAAAGACCCGAGTTTAAGTCCTGGAATCTACATTTAAAAAGCTGGGCATGATGATACACACTATTAATCCCAGCATGATGAGGTAAAGACAAGTGATCTCTGACGTTCACTGGCTAACCACTCTGAATCTTCTTAATTGGTAATTTGAGGTCATTCATAGCTAAGGTTATTACTGAGAGATAAAACAAGGTGGGTGGCTACTAAGGAATAACACACGAGGTTTACCTCTAACCTCCACACACACATGTACACGTGCACCTAGAATCACATGTATATTCACATGAACATCCCGCCCCCCAATAGAGATGATTTTGTCAGATTTGTTTGTTAAAGAATCCCGACTATCTTTGTCTCCCAGAAACTAGTAAAGATACCCACAAACTAAGTATCAAAGTCTGGAAAACAATTTATCAAATGAATGAAAACTGAAAACAAGCTGGCCCAGCTATTTTTTTTAAAGCAATCATAGAGTAGTTAACAACAGAGTTGGCGTGAACCAGGGCCAGAATATCAACCAGCTATTGGCTGCTGTTCTCCTAGCAATGTAACACTTGCCTAGGTACAAGGAAACATAGACAGCTGCCTACAGCTTGGGGCCAGCTATGGTTATAGCTGATAAAGTAGACAAACTAAAATTAGAAGAGACAAAGAAGGCTACCACATATTAATAAAGGAGACAATTCATGAAGACAATATTATAACTGTAAAGATATGAGATATATGTGTCAAACACTGGGGCTCTAAATTTCATAAACACTAATGGCCAAAAAAGGTCAGATAGGTCCTGAGAGAATAACAGTAGGTATTTTAATATCTTGCCCCTATCTCTCAATAGGTCATCTGAACTTAAAAATCAACAAAGAAACTTTACACATAAACTACACCACAGATCACATGAACTTAACTGGCATCTACAGAATATTCTATCCACCAGACACAGTATACTCATTCTTTTCAGCAGTCATAGAAGCTTCTCTAAAACAGATCACATTCTAGGCCACAAATCAAGTTTTGCCAAACATGAAACAAATGAAATAGAGGGCTGGAGAGATGGTTCAGCAGTTAAGAACACTGGTTGTTCTTGCAGAAGACCTAGGTTCGAATCCCAGCACCCACATGGCAGCTAACAACTGTCCATAACTCCAGTACCAGGGAATCTGACAGCCTCTTCTGACCTCCATGGGCACTGCATGACACAGGTACACTTACTTACATGCAGGCAATATATGAACACACATAAAATTTAAAAAAATAAATAATTTTTTAAAAAAGAAATGAAATAATTACTTGTATCTTAGTGTAACTAAACTAGACATAGGCATCCATAACAAGAAAAAGTATAGAAACTATACAAACACATGAAGACTGCACAATGTACTTTTTTTTTTTTTTTGTCTTTTGAGACATGGTCTCCCTGTAGCCCCAGCTGTCCTGGATTCACTATGGAGACCAGGCTGGCCTCGAAACACACAGAGCTCTACCTGCCTCTGCCTCCGAGTGCTGAGATTAAAGATGTGCTGAGCCATCTCTCCAGCCCTGCAACACACTCTCCTGAATTACATCAGTATATCACTGAAATCAAGAAAAAAATAATCATGGAGCTGGAAACAAGGCTCAGCAGTCAAGAGCACTGGCTGCTCTTGCAGAGGACCTAGGTTTGCTTTCGAGCACCCCCACATAGGCAACAACTGTCCATTAACTCCATATCAGGGGAGCCAATGCTCCCTTCTGGCCTCCATGGGCATTGCATGCATGGTACACTTACATACAAGCAGGCAAAACACTCATACATATAAAATAAAAATACATTTTAAAAAATTACAGAAAGAAATAATCAAATGAAAAGAAAAGCATGAAGTACCAGAAACTTTGGGACACGCTGAGGCACTTTTAAGGACAAAGCTTATCGCTATGAACCCAGCATAGAACTGGAGAAATGGGCAGCAGGCCTCAACCTCAGCAGGGGAACTACGGGCAGCTAATCACTGCTGGATGAGGGAGAGCTGATATTCTTTTTTTTCTTCTTTTTTAAAATTCCTTGATTATTGTGTGTGTGTGTGTGTGTGTGTGTGTGTATTTCATACAGAACATCCCAATCTTATTCATCTTTATACCCACATCCCAAATGGCACCCTCCCTTAGCCACCCCCCCCCATGCACTGGAGCCCATATACTCTGTCTTCCCTGTTACTGTCCACTGTGTTGTCAGCACCCCCAGTTGTTCCCCAGAGCTAATCCATCTGCTGAGTCTAGCCAGTCTATCTAGAGTCCCTTGTTTTAGGAAGACCAGCATTTCCTCATCTAGCAGCAATCAGTTGCCAACATTCCATTAGATAAGATTGGGGTCTGTTGTTCATTTTCCCAGTTCTATGCTGGATTAGTGTCTGGGAGTCTCTTGGGCTACCCTGGCCAACAAGAGTTATCTTCTTTAAGTAAGTGATACTAGACAGGCTAAACAGGCCTATGAGTGAATGAACTCACACTGAGGGACACATGGGTACACAAAATTGACTAGATAGGTCTTAACATATATGACAGAATGCATGAAATTCAGTGGGTCAGGTGTGGGGGGGTGCAGATAGGGGAAAAGGGTATAAATAATATTAAGATGTATGAAACGAACACAAATTCAATACAAATATATGTTTAAAAATTAGAAAAAATCTTTCAAGCAAATTACCTAATGATACACTATGAGGTCTTAGTAAAACAAGAACAGCTGAAACTCCAAAACAATAGATGACTAGAAATAATAAAGGCCAGGACAGAAATTACTGAAATGGGAGACCAAAAGAATCAGCTGAAGAGTTACTTCTTTGACAAAAGTAAGACTGACAAGCCCTTAGCTAAACTGAGACAGAAACCCTAATTATTAAAATCAAATATAAAAAGGAGAGGCAACTACATATTTTAACGAAATACAGAGAATAATTATGTTGTATAAACTTATATTCCAAAATACCTGAACGATCTGAAAGAAATGGATACATTTCTACAACATACGACCTACCAAAATAAAGTCAAGAGAATATAAATGATTTCAGCAGTTCTCTAACAATCAACAAGAGGGAAACAATAACAAAAAGGTCCCCCAATAAGAAAAGTCCAAGACCAGACAGATTCACTGTGGCATTCTATCAAAAACGTAAAGAAGTAACACCAATGCTCTTCAAACTGTTCCATAAAGAGGAAAGTGAGGAACACTACCAAACTCATTCTACAGCTTATAACAAAACTGGTTAAGGAACCATAAAACAAAGAAAGCCATAAATCAATTTCCCCGAGGAACATAAAACTCTGGCAAACCAAATTCAAAACCACATTAAGATCATATACAATGACCACATTAGTTTCCTTCCAGGAATGCCAGGTTTCTTCAACATATACAGAGAAGTATAAATAACATATAAACAGACCTAAGGACAAATATTGCATGATCATCTCAAGAAATTTTGAGAAGGCCCTCAATAAAGTTCCACATCTCTTCATGATAAAAGCCCTGACGAGATTAGAAACAGAAGGAACATACTTCAGCATAATGACAATTATGTGTGACAAACATAGCCAGCATTATATAGTGAATGGAAAAAAGCCAGCTGTGAGCATTTCCTCTAAAATCTGGAGCAAGACATGGATACTCATTCTAGTCCTACTCAAGATAATGCTTAAGAGCCTTGGAGAGCACAAAAGGAATGGGGGGAGGGGGCTATACAAATAGTTAAAAAAAGAAGTCAAATTATCCCTATTTGAGGAAAATATGATTCTGTACTTAACAGATCCTAAAAACTACCAGAAAACTCTAAGACCTGATACTTTGGCTAAGTAAGATACAAAACATACAAAAATCAGTAGCATGTCGATATTCCAATAATAAACTTGCTAAGAAAGACATCAGGGGTGAAATCCCAATCACAAAGGCTTAAAAAATAATACGATCTTGCAGCAGCTTCAGAGGAAGTTGTAGACCCAGGGTGGGGTACAGATCT